AATGGCGATTCACATGGAGTGTGATGTGAGTGTTAAGGATTTATGCATGTAAACACTTGGACTGGTTTTGACACACAGTAAATGCTCAATAATGGTAGCTGCTGTTATTATTATTCGACAATGAAGGTTTCTGTTTATACTGTCTAGTACAGATTGGACACCTCCTGTGTGCCTGCAGGGATGGATGTGCGTGAGTCCCCTAAGCTGGTGCATGTGCAGGTCTCACATGCATATAGGCCTGTGTGTGCACACCCGAAGTGTATACGTTGCATGGGGGACACTGCACTTGCGCGGCGGCATCAGGCACAAGTGTGTGCAAACAGGATGACAGGCCCTTGGCTCTGAGAACACCCTGGGGTGATGGGAATGCTGTTCTCAGTTCTCTACCCCCAGCACTCTGGTCCCTCTGGTTCCCTTCAGCTCAAAGTTGCTAGACTTTAGGGTTCTTCCTGGCACCCAACCAGACCCAGGGACCTTAAGGGGGTCTTAAGACATATTTAAGGCTGGCAGTGGTACAGATTGAACAAAGAAGAGGAAATTAGTAAGTAAAGTTGGGCACCTGGGTTTGTGGACCTGCCATGCTACTGAGGGACATCTGGATGGCCCTGACTGCCCCAGCTCTGACCAGCTTTGAGTCCTCAATCTCTCTTGTCCATCTACCTACCCCCATAGTCCTTGCCCTTTTATCACTCAGAACATCACCATCAATGGCCTGGAGCCCCATCCCTGGCTTCTTGGCCTTCTCCATTTCTTATGCTTAAAAAGGACTAGTCAGTTCCCTGCTCAGAATCCTTCCTTGGGTCCCCACTGCCTCCAGGATAAGGTCTAAGATCCTTGCCTGGCCTTGTGGGATCTGCTCACCTTTCCTCCTCTCTCACTCTTCTTTGCTCTGCTGGCCTTTTCTCTCAGACAGGGAGGGAGTCCCTCCTGGGAGCCATGATGAAGAGTAAAGGAAAGAGGTGAGTTTCCTTCCCCTCGCTCCTTTTTATATTTGAGTCCAGCAATTTGCATTCAGATCTTATCTTTGCCATTTCCTAGCTCTTTGTGACCCTGGGCAGAATTCAGACTGAGTTTTAGATGCCTCCTTTGCCAGATGGAGGTAAGTTAATATTTCCTTTTGCTGGGGCTAGATTAATTTTTATTTTCGATTGTATTTGTTTTTAAAAATATATGTTCACTGGGCTCAAAAATTAAATACAAAATATACAAAGGATTACATGTACAGCAAAAATTTCTTCCCAAGACACCCCGTTCCTTTGTATCTTCCTTAGCCTCAAAGTAATTCTTTTTACGCAGCTTGTGGGCTCTTCCATAAATATCATCTATTGAGGACCTACTATGTGTGCTCTCCATGGATATTTCACGCAATCCTTACAGCCACCCATCAAGTAGATGACAAAGTTGAGGCTCAGAGATGAGAAGCCACTTTCCCAAGGCCACACATTGGTAAGCAGTAGACCCAAGACAGTGGGAGCCTGTACATTTATGAAGTGCCTACTATGTGCCAGATCCCTAGGACGGCCCCAGACCTGGGACATTCAACAAGTCATTGAACAGATATTCATTGTTTGGGCACTAGGAAGGGTACTGGAGACGGCTCATTGCTGATACCCCATTTTCCAGGTAAGAAAACCAAGGAACAGAAGGGAAAGAAACCATCCTGAGGTCACAGAGTGATAAGCAGCCCCATTTTACTGGTGAGGAAAGAAACTAGCACAGAGAGGGGAAGTGACTTGCCCAAGGAAACCTAGCTGGTAGGTGGCAGAGCCCCAATTGGAAGGCTCACATGGCCTTGCTGGTCCCTGCACGCGGCCACGTCGCCCCTCCTCCTCCGGTGGGCGGGCTCAGTCCGGGCCCCTCCCCCAGTCGCCCGCGGCTGCGTTCCAGGCAGCCCCGGCGGCCGTTTCCTGCCTTCGTTGTTGGGCGGGCGGCCGGCCCATCTGGCGGCCCCCACGGGGCGGTGCGGGGAGGCGGCCCAGACTCGCTGGAGCCAGGCGCGGGCCCTGCCCCCCTGCCCGCCTGCAGAGCCCAGGTGTGGCCGCGGCGGGGGAGGGGGTGTGCCTTCCTTCCCGCTCGGCCTTCCTGACGCACTCGGGCAGGATGCAGCCGCCTCCTGGGTCTCCTGAGCCTCCGCCTCCCGTGGCCTGGGCCTGGAGTCGTGGAGGGAATCCGAGTGCTGGGAGAGCAGGGCCGGCAGGAAGCCTCAGGCCACTCCCGCTTTTGGTACCCACTCCTTGCAAGACCTCGGGCAAGCTTTGCCCTTTTTGGGGGGTTGTTTACCCGTTTGTACAAGGACAGTTGAACTCTGACCTGGATCTCACAGGCTCTGCTGGCCTTGTCCCCCAGGCCCCTGGACAGAATTGTGGGAGACTGAGGTATCGCTCCTGCATTAGGTCTTGACATTATCATGAACTTGACATCCGTTTGTTCAGCCATTTCAAGTCTCTCCCCATCACAGCTCAGCTTCAGCGTGGGCACTTGACGTATGTTCCCTGCTCTGCCCAGCTCAGGTGCTAAGGTCTGAAAGGGCATCTCAAGGTTCGATACCCCCAAGTTGAAGCCATCCCCGGAAGGGAGGTTCTCATCCATGTCACAGCTGAGAACAAAGGAACAGAGTGGGCAGGCCCGTTCCAGTCCCGTCGTGGCAGCCAGCCCTGCTCAGTCAGACGTCGACTCGCTTCTCCAATGCGGTCCCCAAGAAAGGGAACCCAGAGTCCAGTATCCTGGCTTATGTCAAACAGCACCTCGGGTGAGCATCCTTAGAAGCCAGGCACCCATGGTTCCTATCCCTTCTGGGCACTTAATGTCTCTCAGCTTCATTTTCCTTATCTGTAAAAATGGTACCTACCTCACAGGGTTAGTATAACAATTAAATAATTTTGAAATACACAGCGTAATGCTAGCCACAGTAAATACAAATGAAGTAGTGTGTGTACTTGGGCTCTCAGCAGGGCTGGTCCTGCCCCTGGCAGTCCTCTCTCACCTACTGCAATCACAGGAGACTGAGGCCACGGAGAGGGACACCTACCAAATTAGGGGCAGAACTTGGGGGTTTTGGAGCAGTTTCCCAAGAATCCACCCCCACCCCGGGGTGAGGCTGGCACTAGGCCCACCCAGTCACCCACCCCCGCCTCTCCTGCGTGCAGGCCCAATCCGAGCCCGGCCTGGTGCCATTTTTCCATGGGACTCTGGCGGTGGCGGTTCACATCTGGAGTCTAGACTTGGAGGCTCTGCGGGCCGGGCCTACCGCCCGGGCTGGGCCACCGCTGCCCGCTGTTTGCTCAGCTGAAGCTGGTTAATTGGAATTAGAGTGGCCTCTGCGGTGCCGGCTGGCCGGGCGGGCCCTGGATGGCCGCTGCCGAGGTCTGTGGAACATCTGGCCGGGCCAGGACGGTCATTAGGTGGCAGGCGCCCGGCGCCACTGCCACCTCAGCCTCCGCTGGGGGCCGGCGGTGACTCAATGAGGCCTTTGTGGGTCCTGGGTCGAAGAGCCAACCGCACTGTGTGCCTGGGCTGCCTGCCCCATCTGCCGCCCTCAGAGGGGCCTTGTTCCAGGACCACACGGCCTCCCCTCTGGAGGCGGCTGGAGGCAGAAGAGATCCGAGAAGCCCCTGAAAGGGACCTCCCTGGCCAGGGGAAGACTTTGAGATTTCCTCCTTTTGCTTTTTCTGTAGAACCCTAGGCCCAGAGAGGTTGGATGGCTCGCTCAAAGGTACCCAGCACACCAGCCACAGTGACTCAGGCCTAGGAGTCTGGAGAGGCGTTGCACAGTGCTTAGGAACTTTGGAATTCAATTTGGATTGCTTGAGGCCAAGTCCGCGTCTGTGGCCGAGCTGCCTCAATTCTATCATTTGCATGATGGGACCAATATTATCACCCGAGCCCAAGACTAAGAATTAAGTGAAATCCTGTATTGAGGTGCTTGTTACATGTTAACAGCTTAATATCTAGTGAGGTTATTACAATGATACTTCTGATTCGCTGCTCATACTTGTCCTTGGGGCATCTCCCAACTGCCTGGAAGCCATTGTTATTTTCAGCCCTTGAGCCCGATGCTTGGGCAAGGAGTGCCCTAGCAGACTGAGTCTCAGGCCAGTGGCCAGCTCCTCCCATCTGTTTCGCCACCCATTGACCCCAAACCAGGCAGGTGGACCTCCTCACCTGGTCCACAGGAGTTCTCCTGCAGTCCTGGCTGCTGTCTTCTGCAAACCTTGGAGAAACCCTGGCCCTGGGACCTCCAGCTCTCAGGCTTGGATGGCCTCTCAGAAGTACTGGGCCCAATCCCTCTCCACCCTAGCCTCTTCATCGACCCTGGCCCTTGTGCTGTGACCAGCTTCACTGTGGGGAAGGAAGTGGCTCCTAGAATCAGGATCCTTTTGGCCTTGCGGTAGTCACTTTGGGAAGAACCTTGGGAATGGGCGTGATGGGACCTTGATCTCCAGGGCGTACTCAAGTCCAGATGCTCTCCAGCTGAAGCCATGTGGGCATTGGGACCAGGGAAGCTGGCTCCTGCCAGCCTGGGAATAAAACCTAAGCTCTTCCCCGGGTGGGGCCCACAGGCCCTGCCCATTTCTCTGGCTTTATAGATACTGGTCCCTTGCTGAGTGAGGTCAGCCCTTTGGTACCAACCCCTCCACCCCCCTTGGTGGGGGTGGGTGGATAGGTGACACAGTCAGCACCTGTCCAACACCCTTGCTGCCCTCTAGTGTTGTGAGGATGGTGGTGAGCAAAACTGGATGGCTGGGGGGGAGAGGGGGGCTCATGGGCCCCCTCTGCTGGCCAGAGGGTATCCTTGGGGTGCTGAGCGGGCACGCTGGCCAGGCACTGGGTGGGCATCCAGGACAGAGGGGCCCAGTGGTCAGGGCCTCCTGCCAGGTTGCTCTAGTCCAATCCCCAGGAAAGGGGCTTACAGGAAAGTTTCTGGGTGGAAGGGTGAGAGCTGGTGAACCCAATGCAAGACACTGTGTGCAGAGAGCCCCTCCAAGGAGCACAGCGGCCTGCCTGGGCAATGGGATGAGTTTTTAATGTGAGGCAAAGTCAGTCCACAATACAAAAATCTAAAAATCAGACCCACTTTTCCCATCTGGCACCTGAGGGAATGGGGGAAAGTTGGAGGCTTCCTTTGCCTGCAGGGGATGGGGCGGGGCAGAGGAAGGCCACAGAAGGGAGACAGGGAACCAGGCCACAGAGGCCCCAAGGTGAGGGGTCCCGCTGCCCCTGCCCCTCCCGGGAGCTGCCAGGCCTCCGGCACCCTCGGCCTGTGCAGGCCTGTGCTGGTCCATCCCCGCCTGCCTGGTCTGGCCCTGAGAGGGTCAGGCACCAGCTGCATCATTTCTCCTTCTTCTCCAGCCCCTTTGATGCTGAGGCCTCTGTTCCCTCTTTGGATTCTGTCACGACTGCTGGATCCTTAAGATTTGACTCCTCATAACTGGCCAAAAAACAAGACAATAAAAACAACACATTTAGAGGAGGGGAGAGCAGGATCTCTGTGCCCTGCCATCCCACCATCCTAAGAAAACCCCTGGGCTCATGAGGAACGTTAGCCCGTATCCACTGCCCCGCATCCTCCAGTGCTTGGCCTGGCCCCACTGTGTGCCCTCCTCAGGTAGGGGGCTCTGCTTTCCCTGTGCCTGGGGGTGCCAACAGGCAGCAAGGGCAGAGGCAAGTGGAGAAGTTGGGCTTGGGGGGACCAGCTTTAAGCTTCTTGAACCTTCTCCTGCAGACAGTGGGGAAACAAAGGGGCAGCCAGGACGAGGCTATGGGAGATGGGCTGCCTCCCAGGGCACATGGCAGGAGTCAGAGAGCTCAGCCCCAGGGGCGCAGGCAGGCGAGGGGGTTGCTCTACAGGCAAGTGGCACGGTGCCACTCTCGAAGGCAGACACTCTGGCTTAACTCTTACTATGGGCTCCACTTATTGAGCAATTGAGTTCATGCCAAGGACAATACCCACATTTCCTCACCAGATCAGCCCCGTGAGGCAGGAATGTGCCCACTTACAGATGAAGAAAGAGAGTCTCTGAAAGAAGAAAGTGACTTGCCCAAGGTTATATATGGACGAGTAGTAACAGTCTCTACCACTGTATGACAAGGGCTGTTGACATCCACTCTCACGAGAGCCTCACATTACTGGTGAGGACACTGAGGTTTGGGTTGCCTGCTGCTCCCTGGCCCCATGCGGTGACTGCCTGATGGTTGTGGAGGAACTGCCTCTCGCTGCCTGCCTGTGGCAATGCTCCCTGCCCTGTACACTGGAGCTGGGGTGTCTGCCCTACCTTGGGCCCCGGGACACTGGGGGGAAGCGGGCAGGTGGGCACCCACTGGGCATTACATGGCGCTGGGATTCTGCGGGCGCCGGCGGCGAGGGCCAGCTAGCTTCTGCTGCATGGAGGCGGCCAGGCTGGCTGGGGAGCCCGAGACTGTGGGGAAGTGGGTGAGCCTTGGGGTATGAGGCAGGATTTCCGCTGAGGACTCGTAGCTGTGTGAGAGACAGACAGAGACAGAAAAAAAGAGATGGCGAGGAAACGACTAAGGGAGGACAGTCTTCTCTTCCAAGGAGCAGGGAGCAGAACTCTTACTTTTATCTCCCTCTGTAACTTCAGGCTCTCTGGAAAGAAGCCGGTATCATTTGGAGGAAAAAAAAAAAAAAGATGCACCTATACAAGGGGACACTAGGCAGCTGGGCATGAGAACAGGATTTACTAGACGTCTGTGAGCTGCTGTGGGATCAATGTTCAGATATACTGTTGTGTGAAAAATCAGGATGCAGAACGCTCCGAGGATGCCACCGTCTGTACAAGGATATGTACCCATCTATTGGCTCTTGGGTGCAAGTATGTCTCTGAATGTAGAGACACTGTGACAGAGCTGGCCTCTGGGGTAGCTGGGGTATTGAGGGAGTTGTCCCTCTCATAGCTATAGAATTTTGAACCATGTGAATGTGTTACCTATTTGAAAATATAATAAATGAATTAAAAAAAAAGTGGAGGGCGGGGGAGAAGCACCAATAAAGGGAAAAGTAAAACAAAAGATAAGGTGAGAATTAGGGAGAGAGATGGAGAGAGAAGAAAGAGACTACCTGCTTTTCTCCCTCAACCTAAGAAGCTCCTGAGGGGTGAGGGTGGAAAGGTGCAGGCAGAGTGCCTACACGGCTGAACATTTAGGGAAACCGAGCAGCACTGGGATAAAGGGGCACCTTCTGTTCTGGCTCAGGGTGTTCAGAGCTTGACCCCATGAGGACACAATAGGACCTGGACTGGGGAGGTAACCCCAAGGGGTGGGGGCTGAGTTCAGGGATCAAGCCCCACCCCTGCTCCCAAAGCACCCCCAGATCTGTCCTCAAGTTCACCCCCAGCCTTGTCTCAGAGTCCATAGGGCTTTGCCAGGCCAGGAGATAAGGACAGGCAGGCTGGGAGCCTGGGGCTTCTAGGCAGGGCAGGTACGGGGGAGTGGTGAGTCATAGGTTCCCCTGCAGGCAGCCAGGTGCACAGAAGGCTCTGGCAGGCGCTCGAGGGACAACTTGGAGGCCAGGCAGGTGGAGCTGGGTGGAAGGCCCCTGAGTGGGCAGTTTCAATCGCAGCTGGCAGCTATTTCTGGGTCCCTGGCAGGCGAGGTCGGTGGTGCTGGGGAGCAGACACCTGTTGGAGTCACGCAGGCCTTGGGGTGTAGGTGAGGCTGAGCACAGGGTGTGGCCAGCGTGCATATGGCCATGGGGAAGGGGTATGTGTGCGACTGACAGAGAGAGAAACCAGCTAGCTGGGGTTACAGCCATAGAGGTGGTTAAACAGGGACACTTGACTTCTAATGTGAGTGGCACTTTCCACCACCACACTGCAGTCCTCCCTATTACTCCCATGTGAAAATGAGGCCAGGGGAGAGGAGGACATGCCTGGAGTCACACGGTGGCACAGCTGGATAGGAACCCGGGACTCCTGACAGTAGGGCAGCTGGGGGAGAAATTCTACACCAGCCAGTCCCTTCTCAACACCAGCTGTCCTCTAGCTGTGGGGGCTGCTTAGAGCGCCCCAAGGCCTTGCCGTCCCCTAGCTCCCTGTGCGTCACTGCTGGTGGAAGGGGCGAGGGATGGGGCTGGTGGTGGGAACAATGTTCCCCTGGAGACGTGTACGAACAGCCCTGGCAGGCTCCACCAGCTGCCTGCAGGTGCACCTGTGCCATGCAAACGTCTGCCCCCTGCCTCCTTACCTGAACATCTCTGTCACTTCTCCCTTGGCCAGTGCCACCAGGACGGGAAAGCCAATGCAGGCGGGGACCAGGTATAGGAGGGCAGGCTGGAAGAGGACACAGGGTGGTGAGGCAATGCTGGGCAGGGCGCTGGCTCAGGGCTATGCCCATCATTCTACCCCTTCCTGGGCATGACAGGGGCAGTGGCCGCCCAGGTTGACAGAGCAAGTTAGTGGCTGGGCTGAACCCAGGGCTGCTTCTCCCTGGGAGGGGAGGCAAGAAACCCAAAGAAATGAAAGTAGGCAGGGCTTTAAGGATGCCCAGGAACCTGGCTGGCAGTGTCCCAATCACCGAGGACATCAGGTTCAAACACACAACCTCCTTGGTTGGTCCTATTCTCAGGGACCCTGCTTCCCTAGGTCTGAGGCTAGAAGTTTATATTTTTAACAAATGCTCCAGGAGATGCTGCTATATAATACGATGATGATAATGACGACGACGACGACAATGACGACATCGCTGCTATGTGTGGAGCACGTGTTGTGGCCTGTACTGAGGTTACCCCGCTGGGCATTGGCTTCGCTGGGATTCATACCCAAATGGTCTGGGCCCAGAGCCTGTGCTGCGGTGGCTGGTGCAGCTGGGTTTAGAGGACAGGACAATTACTCTAAGAGTCCTTGCTCAGGGAGCACTTACTGTGTGCACTGAGCTCAAGCCTCCCAGGGGCTGTTTTGGTCCATCTCCACATCCCCTAAGGCTGTCTTCCTTGTGCACAAGAGGCTGATGCTTTTGAAGAAGAGGGGACAGCCCAGGCCTCAGAGGTCTAAATGGTACACTGGGGATTGAACCTCGGGTATACTCAAAGCCATTCTTTTCCTTGCAGCATCCGAAAGCTGGATGTCACTCTATTGTTCAGCGCTCTATGGCCCCCAATGCTCCCAATGGCCTGAAGTCCCTATGATGTGTGACCCTGCTTCCTTCTCCACCTTCACCTTCACCTGCCTTACTCTGGCCATACTGGCCTCATTTCAGTCCTCATGGTCACCTCCAGCCTCAGGACCGCTGCATGTGTATTGGCTGCTGCCTGGGATGCTCTTACCACCTTTGCCTCGGTACCTCCTCCTTCAGACTTCAGCTCAGCTGTTTCTTCCACAGGGAAGCCTTCACTTGCATGGAGTCAGGTCCTCTTGCTGCACACTCTCAGGGCCCCTTGCAGTTCTTCAGAACATTCTTTGGCAATTTGGACGAGAACATCCTTGTGCCATTATAGACTGGAGTCTCTCCCTGCGCGGCTAGGAACTCTATGAGGGCAAGCTCCACAGCTGTCTTATTCACAGCTGGATTTCTGGCACTCAGAAGAGGGCCTGACAAATACTAAACAAATGGAGTCTTCATGGGTGTTCACATAGTTAAGAGGGTGTCTTGGAGATGGCTGGATGAGGAGACATCATTCCTAAGACAAAGCCAGCCCCTGGCCAGAGAACAGGGCTCCATAGTCTCCTGATCCTGACCTTCAGATCCATTTTTTTGGTACCTGCCATGGGTGGGCTGTGAACCATACCACTTCACATCACATGATCTTCGAAGATAATTAACATAGTAAATATTAAGATCTGAGTTTTACAAATGATGCTCCTGAGGTTCAGACAGAGGACAATGACTTGCCCAAGGTCACACAGGGTGTAAGTGGATGAACCTGGATTTGAACCTGGGCAGCTGAGCTTCTCCCACTGCATCCGGTCTTTACTATGAGCTCGGCTTTGGGCCGAGAGTGACAGAAATCACAGTGATAATGGCCCACACCGAAGCTTGTGAGAGGCAGCCAGGACAGTACTCAGAGCCGATGGGAGGGGCTCTTTGGGAGGCAGCAAGTTTGTGATGATCAGGAAGACATAAACCTGTTCTTTTCTTTTCTCTCAAGGCACCAGGGAGCTTCTCCAAAGAAAGTCGGTGCGAAAGAGAGGCGGGGATGTACAGCGCGGGCAGTGAGCTGAGGGTCAGGACTCTTGGCTTTTCCTCTTGACTTAGATTTGCTGTGTGACCACAGCAAATTGCTTCCCTCTTTCTCTGTCCAATGAGGACACCTGATCATCTCTCAGGCCTTTCTAGATCCCTGGCTTCGAGTGGCTTTTGACAGAGGCTGAGTAGGCTGAAGACCGTATAGGCAGAGGAGACTGCTGGCACTGGGACTGTGTCTTGGAGAGGGCGAGGAACTCAGAGAACAGGTTCCCCTTGTGTCCCGGATCCCTTTCCCAAGGTTTTCAGGAAGACGCCCACATGGATGACTGGGGAGAATGGCTGGGCTGCTGCTGGGCTGTAGCACAAGGCTGAGGGCAGGGGCCAGAAGCCCAGGACTCCAGCCGGGACCCGGCTTGACTTGCTGTGTGACCCAGGGAAGTTTTCTTTTCTGTCTGGGCTAGTGTCCCCCACAAAGGGAGGGCCACGTCTCCTGCCTCTGCCGCTGTGAGAGAGCTACCAATGCGATCCTCTGCTGAGTCTAGCTGAGGCAGTAGGCAAGACTGCCACCTGGTGGCTGCTGGGGGAATGTCTCTGGGCTTGGACTCGATTAATAACAGGCTGAGAACTGAAGAGACCTCCTTGCCAAGTGTAGGTCGCTCTCAGTTTGCACAGACCCCGAGACCATTTGGAGCAGAAGAGAATGACAGGTGACTCCCTATTGGTTGGTTTCTCCACCCTGGGCTAGGGAACCTCCCAACTTTTGTAAAATAAGAACACTAGCATCAACTTCATAAATACTATAGATAATGTAAATATTATAAAGACGAAATGAGTTAATGGCACAGAATGTAAGTGCTTAACCAACAGCTCTTGCCATTAATTTGAAGGTGGCTCCTCTGTGGCAGGCGCCCTGGGAGGGGAGAAGGGGTAACAGCAGCAATTTGACAGCTACTACTACTGGGGCCAGGCATTGTTCTGAGCACTTTGTTTATATTAACTCATTTCATTCTCAAGTCATCCCAGGGTGACTACTACTATTTACCCTCATTTTGTTTTTATTTAATGAGGAAAATCAAGCATAACTCCAGCAACCTGCCCCGAGTCCCGTAACTAGTAGCTGTGGGCTCTGGTTTTCACGGGACACAGCTTTGAATCTCGGCTCCAACATATACTTGCGGCCTGGCACCTGAGCTCCAGTTTCCTCATCTGCTCACGACCCTCCTGAAGTACTGAGCAGAGCCTGGCGCATGGAAAGGGCTCTGATTTCCTGTCTGCTGCCTTTGCCCTCCCAGACGCCCCCTCTTCAGGCCACACTGACAACAGCCCCTCGCCCCCACCCCATCCGGGTTCACTCTGTGGCAGCTCAGTATCCATCTTGGTGGGAGGAAGCAGAGCCTAGTCTGGCTGGGGAATGGGGCCCCCAACACCCTATCACTCATCTGGTGGGGTGGGCACTGGCTGAAACACCCGACACCCACCCCAGTCCCATCCTTCTGTCTCCCCCTCTGCCAAGGCTTAGAGGCTACATCCTCTCTTTCCTAGACACACTGTAGCTAGGGCCATGTGACATTGATCTGGCCCATGAGATGTGGGCAAACATCTGCTGAGAAGGTTCTGGGGAAGGTTTTGCCTTTCTCGTGAAGGCAACAGGTGGCTGGGGTCCTTTTTCCTCCTTCTCTCCACTAATGTGCCGCCTGAAGCAGAGGCAGCCATCTTGCAGCAGCCATGAGTGAAAGGCTGAGAGAATCAGACGTGCTTGCTCTGACACCGCTGGGTAGTGTCCAGCTCTGTGCATGACAAATACGTCCTCCGGACGTTACTTGCAGTGAAAGCACTCCTGACACACTGAGTGTGGCCCTGCTCACCTGGGCGTGCTTGAAGATGTGCATGATGAAGATGGTAAGGCCCAGGCCGAAGATGTAGGCTGCAAAGCTGGTGTAGAAGTAGGTGTGGGTGTTCTTCTTCAAGCTTGGGAAGGGGTGGGGAGAAAGAGGAGAACGGTTAGATGCAGGCATCCGTTCTGAGAGGGGAGCTGGGAAGATCCCGGAGGCTACGAGGTGCCTGAGAGCTCTGGGCTGGGAGCCCGGAGGTGGGAATGCACTCTGGTATGGCCTCAGCTATGTGTCTTCGGACAAGTCACTTTCCTCCTCTCAGCCTTGATTTACTCATCTGCAAAATGGGGAAACCACAAGCCATTTCCCCGGTGGTTGTGAATATCAAATGCTATAACCTAGAACAGTGGCTGTAAGAGTTCAGCCAGCATAGAAATCACTCGGAAAGCTTGTAAAAAAAAAAAAATAGAGTTCTAGGTCCAATTTCCAAGGGATCTATCTAATAGGTCTGGGACAAGGTCCAGGAACCTGCATTTTGAAAAACCGCCCAGGTGAATCTGATACAGGTGGCTTATGCTTTGAGAAACACTGATGCAGACACTGTAAAGCTATTATTACTTTTAAGTGCAGTGCGCATAACAGTTCAGTAACCTGTTGTGAATACTAAATAGATGCTGACCGCATGGATAAAATGCCAGTGACTTCCTGGAGGCAAGTCATCCAAGCTCAGCCTCAGAACAGCTGAATCACACGCAGCCTGGCACCGTCATTACATGACTTCCCTTTACTCCACCAGCTCATGACTGCTCCATGTCCAAAGCACCTGGGACAGGGCCCAGTGACATCTGTGAAACGAACGAGTACTTCCGACCCCCTTCTTTCCTTGTCCTGGCTGTTTCTAGGCCTTGAGCTGCAAGTACACTGAGAGGTATCCTGTTATGACACCTGCGGTGCAACTGACTCCCTCTGGGGCTGTTGCACAGATTCTGGAACCAGCTCTGAAGGGCTTGCGTATCCTACAAGTCCAGCCGAGGAATGAGATTCTGCCTCCGAGGATGCTGGCAGCTGAATGTGCATTTCCAGCGAACAGCTTGAGAACTTGCATGGGTTTTTCTTCGTATCACCTCTGTACAGCCAGGAGTAGAGCTGGCTGGCACAGATGTGCCTCTACTCACAATCTGACCAGGTTTCTTCCAAGGCCTGTCTGTAAGCTCGTGTGTTCATGAGGTCCAGAGTGGCACCACACAAATAATCCAGATGTATGCGAGTGGGGCAAAAAGTTAAGTTGCACATGAAAACTGGATTTCAATGATGGTGGTACTGAGTTTCTTATTACCACTGTTAACCCTATTACCGCTTTTGCA